TTTTCTATTTTTAATTACATTGTTATGTCAACATTATTATCGGTTTTATTCACCGAAAACTCGGCTAATCTGAGGTAATTTTTCCTTCAATTTTTTTCTTTTATTAATTCTCTATTTTTATCCTTTTTGGGTTTTTACAAATCTAATTCCCTATAATTTTTTATTATTTATATTATTAATTTTTTTTTATTATTATTAATTAATTTTTTATTCTAAATTATTAAATTGATTTTGGTGGCTGTTTGAAATATTTTTGAATGTACTTTATAATCGTTGGCATTAATTATATTATTAGTACCATTGTAGTTAATTTTTATTACTTTTAACACTATTGTGATTAATCTTTGTTACCATTAATACCATTCGAATTTTTATTACCACTACCATAAATACTTGGTAATATAATTACTTAAAAAAATTATTATATGGGCGATTAGAAATAATTTTTATTTCTACTACCATAAATATTTTTCACGATTGTTAGGTTACTAATGTTTATTACCATTTTAATTAATATTTATTATTTTCTTCATGAATAATTGACACTGTAATATTAATAATAAAATAATAATAATATAATATTGATAATAAAATAATAATAATAATAATAATTAATACTAAGAGAAGAGTGTAAAAATGTTGATACGGTTTTGGAAAAATAGAAAATAGAGGAGCGAGTACGCGCAAGCGAACTTGCAAACGAGAAGTGGTCACTGAGCGCAAGAGAGATTTCTTATATACGCTTCGGACGAGAATGTGGCGCGCCAATGAGGCGCGAGGAGGCGGAGTTCCGTGCTCCGTCACCCCCTCCAGTCAACGTCTCCCACTCTCTCTCTTTTCTTCGAGTATAAAAGCAAACTTTTCTCTACGCTCAGTGCCAGTTCGTCTCAATCACGCGTAACGGAAGTAGTTCTTAATTTTTCTCTTCCAATTCTTTATTAATTTAATTTTAAATTAGTTAAATAAAAAATATAGTTAAATAAGTTGTTATTTAAATAAATAAACCAGTTTTTTGCCACCTAAAAATAGTGAATCTATTCTAATAGAAAATAATAATAGTCTAAAGTAAAATAATAAAATAATATTTCTTATTGAGAATATATTGATGGAAAATTTTTTAACCACAGCCATGTGTCGTGTTTGTTTAAGGACTGAAGTCAGTGATGAGTGCAGCAACAGTTTGCGAAACGTCAAGGGACGCTCGTTAGGGTAAGTGAATAATCAATTTATCTGAAAATTATTAGCGTCTAGTTGGTGAAACTTGGATCTCATCGTAAAGTTTGCGGTTTCTAACGGTGCTTTAAATGGACAGTGTTGCGTCAATAAATTAACGGAAACGAGGGCAGCACTGATTCGCTCCAAATGTAAACGCAGATATAAAATATCTGTGTACATAAAACACAAGAGCACAGATGTGTGTTTGTTGTTATTGCGGTTCAATTTTATTTTCATTATTTCTGTTTTTAAAGGGAAATTTAAAAAAAATTTCCAATTTCTTAATTTCTTTCCATGAAATTAAAATTCAAAATGGCTAATTCAATAAATTATTTCGAAATTATTTAAAGATAAAGGCACCCTAGGGGCCGTTACATTACGTCCTTCAAGGTGACGCCCCTTACTTTAGGGGGCCGTTACATTACGACTTTAAAGGTAACCCCCCCCCCCTTAGAGGGCCGTTAGCCAAAATTTAATTCTAAACAATTGATTCAATTTAAATTAAATTTCAATGAATTTGACTTAATATTTAATCATAAAGTAAAACTAGTAAAAATTTTATTTAACTTCAATACAAGCGTCCAAAAAGGATTGTTAAATTTTAAATTTATAAAATGTCAATTTCTTTTGTCTGCAAAATTAAAATTTTTCAATGTCGAGCAGTAAATAAAAAAAAGATTCTCTTCCAACTATTGATTAATGCTTAAATATTTTTTTTTCTCCAAAATAAATAAATAATAGCTAATCGGAAAATGGTGTAATTTTACACTTAAAATTTATGACTCTATCACTATCGTGTTGAATCTGCTATGAAAAAAGATAAACTTCTAATGTAACATTTTTACGTGCAATTTATTTCATGCTCGTTTCTCCTCTGCGTAAAATTTTAACTCACACAGCAACTTTACGATTTTGCAAATACATATATATATATATATATATATATATATACAAAAACCTATTTCAAAGATAAGCTACTATTATTTTTGCAAGGATCATAGTGCTGTTTACTTTTCACTCATCTCTCAAATTTTGTGCAAATGCGAAAACATAAAAGTTTAATTAAAAAGGATTAAAATAGAAAATTAATTGTAAACTCTGTTTTAATATTGGAAATGTTTGTGTTTTTGTTTCAAATAATTTCTCTCGGCAAGTTTATTAATAATCGTTGACATTAACTTTTTGATAAAAAAGAACTAAAAGTAAACAATAATAATATTATAATTATATAATTCTTATAAATTTTAATAAAAATAAAATTTTTAATTACTTTTAATTTTAATTTGGTCAAATTTCACTAAAACTTTTAGGTTTAATGTAACGGCCCCCTGGGGGCCCTTAGAAAATCCTGACTCTTTGACGGCGGCAAAATTGTTTTATTTAATAGGGAGAGGTATATATATTTATTTATAAATTATTTATTTATAAAGATAATAAATTATTATTATTTTATTTCTATTTATAAAATAATTAATAATTATTAAATATTGCGAAGATTATTATTTTATAATTTTTAATTAATTTATTAAATAATCCGTTTACAGTTAAAATAAAATAAAAATTAATAATGTTGATTATTGAATTTAGAATATTAATTTAAATTAATTAATTTAATTATAATTATTAAATCAATTTAAATATGTAATTAACATTTTGTGCGTTAATTGTGTTGGCTGTATAAATATTTTCTAATTGTAATTTATTACTCTAGCGGCGTGAATTGTTTAAATAAATTGTAGCTTCTAAATTATACTAATTACAGTACTTTAGATGATTGCATTTTTGCGAAAATGTGATTTCTATTATTTACAATATTTTTTTTTTTTTTTTTTGCTTTTTTAGTTAAAAAAACGAAAATGCAAAATTTTCATATACGTGATTCAACGAAACAGAAGAAAAAAAAGCAAGTTTATATAAATAAAATAATGTGAAAATTATAATTTGCAATTTTTTTTACTATAGCTCTCGAATTTTTATTAATTATCGAGAACAAGTCTAATTAAAAAAAAAACTTACGCAAATAATTGCAAGTCGATCGCATCCAGATGTTGTGGTACCAGTGAGAATTTTTGTTTTTTTTTCGTTTGGTAGAGAAAAAATTTTTATTTTAATAAAATTCGTATTCATAAATAAATAAGTAAATAAGTAAGTAAATAAATAATTAAATAATTAAATAAATAAAAAAATTAAATAGAAAAGTAATTTCTTTATTAAAAAAAATTGTTTTTTTGAAAATTTATCTTATTTATTTGCTCTAGAAATAATATATTAATTTTGTTAATTTCAAATTTTGAATTTATTAATTTTGTTAAATTAAGAATTTAATTTATAAATTTTCATAGTCAATAATATATTAATTCTAAAAATTAATAACTAATTAGAATTAAAAAATTAATTCAAAATAATACATTAATTTTAATTAATTAGTTAATTTATTAATTAGTATTTTATTATTTTTCATGTTTTAAAAATGAATTATTTATCAATTTTAATAGTTAAGAATTGATTTTATTTTATTAAAAAGTTTAAATTGTTTAAAAATTGTCACTTATCAGAATCATGGTAACAATGTGTGAAAATAATTAGACAAAATAATGATATAAAAATATTTTATAGAAATTAAAATAACTAAAAATCGAAAGTTTAATATTTTTTAATAAAAGAAAATTTTGAATTTTTCTTTCTTTTTTTAATGGAAAAAAATAATTAACTTTTCACTTATTGAAAGTAAAAAAGGTGTCTTTAGTTTCACGATTATTTTATTTAAAATTTTTTTTTTACTTTTTGCACAGTTGGCGGAAATTAAAGACACAGAGAAAGTTGTATTTTTCGATATCCTTTAAGGGGAGAGAAACGAATAGAATTCCTTGGAACATTTGGTACCAAGATTCAGATCACGGAAATTCAATTCAGAAACGCGTTTTCTACCTTCAGAAACACTCGATTTTCTCTTGAAATTATTTGGTTCGATAATTTCTGGAAAAGAAAAAAAAGAAGAAAAAAAATGCAAAAGAAAAAAAAATGTAAATTAATACTTGAAGAAAAATGAAATAAAAGAGAAAATTGGTGAAATAAGGAAAAAAATAGTTTGGTAAATAAAAAAATTGGAGATGAAATATTTTTTTGAATAATAAAAAAAATAAAAAAATATCAAAAGAATTAAAAACTGACTAAAGAAACTAAAATAACTGAAAAATTAAAAAAATTAAAAAACTAAAAAAAGACTAAAAGTTAATTTTTTTAATTAACTAAAAGACTAAAAAACAAAAGCTAAAAAAACTAAAATTGAGAAACCGACTAAAACCAAACAAAAAAATAAAAATTTATTAAAATTTAACTCATAAACTAAAATTTACTAAAAATTAAAATAAAAAAAAGAATGAAAAATATACATAAAAATTTTTTTATTACGCACAAAAATATTTTTATTTACACAATGAATCAATGGAATGGTAAAATTACTGATAAATGATGAATGACAATTTTTCTTTCGTAATTTTTTGTTAGCAAAAGCAGATGAATGTTTTTTAAAAATTCAATAGAATTAGCACAACAATAGCAGCGATTTTATACTAAAAATTATTTTTTTTGCAATGATAATGATTTTCTTTTGTTTTTTGCATAAAATTTCAATATTATATATTTAATGCATTCATACAGAAAAAATTATTTCGAAGTATATTTATATAGTGGAAATTTTTTAAGAGCATATTATAATTAGAAAAAAAGGTAATAAAACTAATAAAATAGCAGACAGAGCAGATGAAAACGGAAAAAAAACTTGCCTCCTTGCAGCATTGGCGGTTCAAGTTCGACATAAAAAAGAGCGTCCTTCTCGTACGAATCCTCTTCAATAATTGTCAACGCTATCATTTTTCTGAAAATAGAGAGAAAAAATTCATTAGTTTATAAATTGGGAGAAAGTATTTTTATTTTTATTTATTTATTCTCTTTTCTTTATTTAATTTTAATTTTCTTAATTTAAATTAATTTTTTATTTTAATTTTTAATTTTATGTATTTTGTTATTCAATTTTTATTTCTAGTTTTACTTCTTTCGATTCTGTATTATTCGAGAATTAGAAATTAAGTCTTTTTAAAATTTCATAAGTGGCAAATATAAACAAAATTCGAACGAATTTGAAATATCGTCCGTCATTTTGAATCCGCCATTTTGGAATTTTTAATTTCGATATAAAATCAGTAAAACACCATCTAATTTAAGAATTTTAATTATTACCAAATGAAACTAAATTCAAGTATTAATTTTAAAAATAGCAACGAATTAGAATTATCGTCAGCCATATTGAATCCGCCATTTTGAATTATTTAAATTTGATAGAAAATCAGTAAAAAAAAAACCCCCTTTAATTAAAATATTTAACTGTATTCTTAAATGAAAGTGAATTTAAGTAAATAATTTTAAAATAAAGACGAATTAGAAATATCGTCCGCCATATTGAATCCGCCATTTTGAATTCTGTAAATCTATTAAAAAGTGTGTAAAAAAACCCTCTAATTAAAAAATTTAACTTTTTTTTTTAAATAAAACTGAATTTAAGTAAATAATGTCAAAATTGAAACGAATTAGAAATATTGTCCGCCATTTTAATTTGTTTAAATTCGATACAAAATCAGTATAAAACTGTCCAATTTAAATTAAACAATAATTTATGTATAAAACTTGAATTTGAATAAACAATTTCGTAATTGAAAATAACAAAAAAATTCAGTTTAATTTAAATTCAAAAAGTTTTAATTAAAATTGAAATTAAATTTACTTTTTTTCTCTCTTTTATTTTTCATTTTAATTTAAACTCAGTGTAATTTCATCGAAATAACATATTATTCATATCGCTTTTGTCAAAAAAATTTTTCAATAAATTCTAAAAATGAATAATTAATTTTTTTTCTTTTTCTAATTAAAATTATACTTTGTTGGGGAAAATATTGAATGGATATAGGAGAGAAAGAGAGAGAGAGAGGGGGTGGAGAAAGGAACTATTAAATGTCGAGCTATTAAATTCCTCTACATTTTGTAACTGTATAGACAATGAAAAATAGACGAGGATAAAATTGAGTTTCCGGAAAAGTCATGACACACACACACAAACAAATAAACACACATACACACACAACACACGAATGTAAAGTTATATACATTCATAGAAAATGGTGAATACTCTCCATGGAGTCTAGTTGCTGTACCCTTTTTGCCCAGGCATATATCTATATACTGTAAATATTGACATACACTTCGCTTTGTGACGGCATTGTGTATCTAGACGTTTCACTTATAAAGCTTTTATCCCCACGGGTATATCTCGGAGGCCTTTTCACATTTCATTATTAAACGTTTCCCGAAAAGTTCTTCAGGGACTCATTTTGGTATGTAATTTCAAAGTTCAAACACTTGGAAAATGCTTTTGCCTATTAAAACTTTAAACTCTCACGGTATATTTATAATTATGTAAATAAGAATTAATTTCCCCCAGTAAACAACAACACAGCAAAGCAAAATTTTATTAATTAAAACGAGATTACATTTTAATCCAATCAAAATTATTTCAAACTTTCAGTGAGAATTTATTTCAAAGAATGATTCCTTTTGTTAGATTATTATAGATTTTTCTTGAAAAAAAATGACTTGTGTCTTGTTTCTGCTACTGAATAAGAAAATGTTTTGTTAATCATTAAAAAATTTTTTTTTATTAAACAATAATTTCTTAATAAATAAAAAATGTTTTCTTATAATTAAAAAATGCTTTTTTATAAATAAAAAATATTTTCTTAATTATTACAAAACAATTCCAATTATTAAAAAATCTTACCAGCGAAATACAATTTTCGTTAGAGTGAATCAAAAACAATTATTATAATAATTTAAAAAATGTTTTTCAAATATTAAAAAACAAATTAAATTATTAACAAATTTTACCAGCGAAATACAATTTTAATCAGAGTGAATATAGAAATTATTTTTATAATTTCACAAAATATTTTTATAATTTCACAAAATATTTTTATAAATACTTGAGTAATTAATGAATAAATTTTTTAAATAATTTAAAACTTAACAAAAAAATAGTTTGTAATAACCAGAATAAAGTTTTTGTTTAAATGTAGTTTAACATTTTATTTTTATTAAAGTTTAAACGCAACATTATCTCAAGTAAAAAAGAAAAAAGAAAAGACATTGTAAAAATGATTTATTCAAAAGTTATAACTTGACTGGTAAAAAGAATGCAAATCTCATATATCGGTATTTATGGCAGGAAGACCTTTTTATTTTGAATTTCATCGTCGTAAAAATACAAACCCTAGTAAATATTTACAATTTCGTTTTGACTGCATGAAATCGTATTCACATTTTTATTCCAAAACAGTATAGAGCTCTTTATCCAGCAGCCACTTAACATCCATACATCATTTTCAACAAGCGTATACTCTCACTTGTCATTCATTTTTTGTACTTGTTTTTTTTTCTCCTCCAAGCGAAAAAAGAAACAAAAATATTAAAAGCTTCTTATCCCTGTAATGTTTCAAAAAATCACTATAAATAATAAAGGTAAAGAAAGTAAAAGTAGGAAGAAAAACAAATCTGTATAAAAAAGCCAGAAATCTAATTTACCGACTGATGGTAATATATACCAACAGTCGGTAAATTAGATTCCTGTCCTTTTAATATTGTGCTTTTTATTAATGTAATAATTCAATAATTGTCATACATAATAAACTAAAAGAATATACATAACAAAGATAAATAAAATAATTTCTACTTTACCGACTGAAAAATCGATAAAGTAGACTCGAACGTCGATAAAGTAAACTTAGAAGTCGATAAAACAGACTCGAACGTAAATAAAATAGTCTAAAAAGTCGGTAATGTAGACTTCAACGTCAATAAAGTAGATATCTTCTACTGTACCATCGGTAACAAAAAAAGAACCAAGAAAGCAAAGGTTAACTACATTAGTAACAAAAACCTCCGATTTATAATGATTCAGAAGCAATAAATTCTTTTTTTTTTTGAGAGAGAAAAAGAAAGGAAATAGAAGTTGCTTAACACCAGAAAGTGATCAACGCGACGACTAACACTGGTATAAAGTTTCGTTTGAAGTGGCATAAGATTTTTTTGCCTAAAGCTCTTTTTCTCACTAAAGCTGAAAAGGTCTATGAGGAAAGAATATAAAAGTAACTTTAACGTCAAACGGAAAGAATTGCATTATATCGCCGGAAGAATTGTATATCCTGGAGACATTTTCTTCATTCAAACATTTAAATATTTAAATAATACTTCAACACCTGCAATTCTATCAAATTTTTAGTGTATTTTTTGTTGCCAGTCACCAAGAGTTAAGTGATTTTTAGAAAAAATTCTACTATCTATGAATTATTGTCACTAATAATTGCAACAGTATCAGCGCCGATAACGATTTGTTTAGTCGATAATTTACCATCAATCGGTAATTTACCATCAGTCGATAAAATAGATTGTGTCGGTAGGCAGCCAAAAGCCCCATTTGCCATTCGGCTTGGTGGCCAAAATGCTAAATCACACACAGAAAAACTGGTTTACCGACCGAGTGTTCCGAACCTAACCTCTTACTGTGTAAAATTGTAATTTAGTAAAATGGCAATTTAGCATTTTGGCCACCAAGCTTTGCCCTAATTACAATTTTGCACAGAAAGAAGGTTAGGTTCGGAGATACTTAGTCGGTAAAACAGTTTTGCTGCGTACAATTTGTGCAAAATTCTAAATTGATTCTAAATTAAGAAATCATTCTCTTACATTTTGAAAATTTGATAGATTTATTAGTATTTTAAAATGAGTTATCGATAGACTAACGATTATTTTAATGATTAGTTACCATAGGTTGGTAAGGAAGAAAACTATACCATAAAGTATTAGCTAGGACGCTACAGTAACAGTAACACAATAGTATCATTACCGATAACGATTTTTTCAGTCGATAATATACAATTAGTCGGTAATTTACCATCAGTCGATAAAGCAAATTTGAAAAATTTCGAAAGAGCAGAAAATATTTATTTCCAATATTTTTACGATTGTGTACCAGTTTGCTTGGTGGCCAAAAGACTAAATTGCCATTTCGCTAAATTAAAATTTTACACAGTAAGAGGTTAGGTTCGAAACACTCAGTCGGTAAAACAGTTTTGCTGTGCATGGTTTAGCAAAATGGCAATTTAGCCTTTTGGCCACCAAGCGTTTCATAACTTTACCGACAGATGGTAAAGAAAAACGGAGAAAAACCCTAAAAAGCGTATTTATTTTGCAGAAAATGTATGAATTTTCTTCCTATGAGAACAAAAACGTAACTCTAACTTAAAAAATAAATATTAATTTACAATTATCAAGGTTTTGAATTAAAAATTAACATCAATTAAAATAATTTGTAACTATGGTGTTAATTGTAATTTAAAGCATTTAATTTTGATTGATATTAAGTTTGATTACTTTTACTTATTTTTTTTTGATGACAGAGAGAAAAAATCGTCTGATTTGTCTAATGGTAGATAATTTAGAGTGAAGCTCAAAGTCTTAGTTATCTCGAGGGAATCATTAATATTCCATTTGCATACACCGGTGAATTCAGTGGGCTTGATAATAATAAATTAATCGAGCTTGCGAGTAAAATGACGTTAATGAGAGAACACGTCATCAACGTATACACAAGGAGTCCTCGCCTCCTCTCATGCAAACACAAATCCATTAATTCGCGCATAGATTAATTAGCGTGATTTTTTTTCCAACATTAAAACACAGTCCATTTTGCAAATATCAATCATCATCATCATCATGAGCACGATCAAAATTTCAACTAAATTTTGGAGATTTCACCAATTTTCGTAT